CTGCCTAACTCTCGGAGCCTAATTCTATCATCTTCATACAAACCGGTCTCTCGGTACTGTATGTCAGTACAAACTTATGTTTTATCTGATTTTATTTCTCAATTCTAAATTCTTGGGAAATATCCAATATTTAGCTTTAGATGGAATTTACCACCGACTTTGCGCTGCATTCTCAAACAACGAGACTCAAAGAAAACGAAATGGATAATTTGCGCTGCACACGATAATCCTGTGCCACGTGCGAGGAGCGTAGATCATAATAGCTAGTCATTGTAACACATCAAACAATAAGACGCGAAGAGGCATCTAGAACGTACCGAAAAACGTTAAGAAAGCAATATTAAAGGTCAAGTAATTCTGCTTTTATGAGTTCAGAACAATGCAACAAATGTTGCGCTCGACTCGTACCTCGGACGGTCAGTTTCGGAGATGCTCAAAGAGACCATTTTCTTTGGAGGTAGCTCAAATAGTACTAGCGAAACGGAAGGGCATTCGCCACAACTTTAAGCAGACCAGGCTTGTACTTTTGTCTCGATGATTTATAGTCGGGAATTTTGTTAACCATCACGCCTTTGTCTTGGAGAATTGTAGCGACGGTATGTCCCGCGCATAAAACTGCCTGATCTGTACAGATCACAAAGGGCTTCTAGACGATCAATTGCATCCTGAACTTGGCAAAGGAGCCAAACATGGCACGTTCTGCTTGTCGTGGACTATGTACTGCTTTTTCGCAGCGAGGTGTAAGGATAGCAACTCGATGTTCAGCAACGACATTGGTCGACTGCATGAGTTGTTTAGGAAGGGCTAATTCAGGATCGTCCATGAGGCCTTAATAATCCGCCTAAATGATCGCCTCACCTGTTGCATCACAACCATCATTTGGTAAAATTTTAATTGCTGGCAAGGGAACTTGCCGTCTGGGGATAATATCCTGCTATACTTGTGCAATATGGTGGCCATACGTTAAATCTTGTGACATTGTGGCTGAACATCTACAATGACCTCGTTCACTTCGAAATCTGCCCGATTCCCATGTATCCCGATGAAGCACCCCAAATGGGATCTCGACAGTGTCAAATTTGTTTTTATTGGTGAACAGCTCGTTAAAGTGCGTACACTCGGCCACCCCTCTCAAGTGTTTGATATGGATGATCACATTCAATTTCCATATACCGCATGACCACGAGCAAAACATCATCAAAAAAACGTACGTAAATATTCACAATGCTACCTAAACCGAAATTAAGCAACTCACAAATGTCAATGATGTATCAGACAGCCTCCGGGGATAACAATTGCTCCCGGCGACCCCACTCAAAAAAGTTGCTGCTGTGAAGGAATGTCATTTGCTCGCATAGCTAATTGGTAGAATCAATCGTTTAATCGAAAGATAAGCTGTTTTGCTACATATCTCTTCATAAAATTGTCGTTTGCATCGAATTGGTGACTACATATTGTTCATTGAAAGCATACATGACCCACCACTTAGCACTATACCTCCTGACTCAAAACGCCGGCGTTTGATGGAGAAATTTAGCAATTTTCACCAAATCCATTATGTGCTTTACGAGCCAAACCAGATCAGATTCTTCAACTATGATACCTAAGGCATGGGTATTGATTCCCCATCGTTGTTTATTTCGAGAAAGGATGAGAGATTCCTAGCGATTCATGAAGATATTTGCCTCACTCCTTAATATCCTCAGCGATGGACTTATCCATGACGAATGTTGATCGTAGCCCCTTTTTGGTACTATCATAACAAAATATATTGTCGTCCCGACGTGCACCACTGAGAAATATATATCTCAAATTCTATAACTTCTTGGACCTAATACTGCCACAGTAGCGCTATTTGCGAATGTATTGAATGATCATCACAGATAGGTACGAATCGTAAGGGTTTAGTGCTTTGTGTGGCAGACTCTGCTGTATCATGACACCATGGCATGGATGAGTAACCTTTCGCAACATACAGGTTAGGCCTTTCTTACTTAAAGAGGAGCGTGATATGTTCGACTTCCGGTCGATCCATGGCACACGGTATTCAAGCCAGGCCATATATAAGATGAGATTATAGCTCGAATCCATGTCTAAGATCAAACATCGATCCAAGCTAACAGAGCCTTGAAACCTTAAGAAAGCCCTATGACTCTGTTACACGGTTCGATGCGCTGGCTCACAAATTTATCTGATGCAGATGTCTTGAGTTGGGGATCGTGAATCAGCAGGAACACTATCTGAGCTTGTTGGAAGTTGACCCGATTAAATGAACAGTCGGCTTCAAACAA